AGAGGACACCCATCACACAGTAATCTTGTGCGTGGGAAATTAACGTCTCCTACTCCAACCCTGCAGGAGACGGGGCCTCCATTTATTTGTCCCTATCCGAGTAGACTAGAATATCTAAGCATTTCTTGATGTTATAGAAGGGTAGCAAATTCTTCTCAATTATTTTAAGACCCTGAGTGTTGGTCCGGCCGGGGCTCGAACCCTCGTCCTCCCGCACAACAGTCCAGCGTTCTATCCATTGAGCTAACCGGGAGGCGGTTAATAATCATCTCATATCCAACTAGCGTGATTGGAATAATTGTTCTATTAAAAAAAACGCTCCCAAGATATAAGACAAATCTTCTCGACTTTATTTTGTAAGAAGAAACCGGATGTTACAATGTATAGATATTAGATTATGGTATATTTGCTCATATACCATAATGGCGAAGCCAATTAAAAGTCTTGAATTGCATTATCCAATGATCCAATTTTTAATAAGATAAGATATTCTCCCTTTTCGAGCTAGTCATTATCGTCCACTCCCCCTTCCCCTCCACTAAACCCCCCTCCTCCAACAATGTAACATCTAGTACCTTAAGTCAAGAGAAAGTACTGATGTCTCTTTGTCCTAGCCGAATACGAGTAGTTTACAGAGCTCGTGAAGAGAAAATAATGATCGATCATGACTGATAGCGTCTTTTTTTTTGACACTTTAATAAAGTCATGATGATGATGTAATGATCGATAGCCCTTTTCAGTTTTATTTGCCCTCTTCTTTGATGATGATGTATTGATCGATAGCCCTTTTCAGTTTTATTTGCCCTCTTCTTTGATACCAGGGATGTACACAGTTAAGTGTCTGTCGATACATCTTCAAGTTTTGTAATGTGAAGGACATAAGACATGACGAAAACATGATATACCTAGCACATTTACTATGGAGCGTTGCTGACTCGCACTTGGCGAGTCAACAACGCGACTCATTTGATACCAACGAGTCATTTGATAGCATTCCACATTACCTGCTGTTAGCCAAGCTATCTGCCTATGGTCTTGACAGCATTGACTGCTTATTATTGGAGAATTACTTCACAGATCGTTTTCAAAGAGTCAAGTTAAGCTTGGTGGTCAATTCTCCAATTGGTGTTATCTTACTATGGGAATACCACAAGGATCAGTATTGGGTCCTTTATTGTTTAACATTTATATTAATGACCTATTTTTCGTTAGTCTGTCATCCAAAGTCAGTGCATATGCTGAGATAAAGATCTCAATTTCACGAAGCATGTTGAGGCCTACTCTGGGGCCTTAAGTCGCCGTAACTTTAGGCGACTTTGGGCGATTTAAGGCGACTTAGGAAAATTGGTAGAAAAAACGTTCAGACTTTAGGCTATTTAAGGTCCCAAAGTAAGTCTATGTTGCGGACATAGTACGCAGAGTTAGCAATCAGATACAGGTCACGCAAAGGCATAAGAAACTAATTGACACTAACATCAAGACCAAATAATTATACAATGCCTATCTCTCGTGGTACACATTCTCTTTTATCCCTCATATCAATACTACTACATATCGCCTACATTCTTTATCCTACTATGGTAGCAAACTATGGAACTCCCTCCCCAACAGGATCAGGTCACTGTCAACAGTTGCAGCTTTCAAATCGGCTATTCATAATTTCGAATTTGAAACTGACTGCTGTCCATTCTGTAAATAGTTTTTATTGTTCATCCTATTGTATATATTGTGTCTTATGTATTTATCTTATTCTCCACAACTATTTCATTTTATTTATTTATTTATTTTCTCGGAGATATTAGCATTTTTTTTTTTTTTTGCTATTTTAAATTCGAGATGAAATAAAGGCTTGTTGTTGTTGTTGTATCACGTGACTTACAATTTACTTATTTCAATGACGTCACAATATCGGTATCAATATCGATATGGAAGAAAAACGTAAGTATCGCACTCGGTATCATATCGATTCACAAAAGCCGTATCGGCCCATCCTTACCAAATGACCTCGCTCAAACCAAAGTATCATATAATATATGTGGCGTGTTTTTTGCCGGCCAATAGGGACGTTTGTTTTACTTTTTTGTGCGTTGTGAGAGTTTTGCACTCTAAAAAAGCTTCTTCCCACACATCCTTATTGTCGCTCTATTGTAAAAGAATTTGTTCATGCTTTAAGTCGTGCGTACATCGAGTTATGTATGCACGCGGGAGGTTTGGAGGGCCCTCAAATAGCTAGAGTAGCTCTTAGCTACGCTTCGAGCAACTCTTACGCAGTTTTCGTGCTCTCCAAACTTCCCGCGTGCATCCGTGACTCGATATACGTACGCTAAGCATGAACAAATTCTTAATCGTTAATCAGAGGTTAGGAACAAAGTAAATTTGTGCTAGCTGATTGGTTGGCTTTAATCTTAACTGAAATAAATCCCCAAATTCTAATATAATTGCCTCTCTAACCTAATTCAGGTAACAGGGCGGTCATTTTAATACTACCGATTGATTGTTACTTGGGCACAAGCTTCTAAATCTGTCACATTCGGTTGTCACGCCATCTATTTCATACTCGATAAGGCTCTGGGTACGAGCTGCCTTTGGGAATGCGCAGGTACTGCGTAGGTACACTGAGAAAACATGGCTTCAGGCCTTGTATCGTCGTTTCGCAAGCGCTGTGGTCCTTGCCTGGCTTTCTTTGTGTTAGTTACCTTTCTACTCGCTTGTCATGTCATTTATCACGTGAGAGATAAGCATAGAAGAGAAATAAGATTCCTGACGTACAACATTTGGAATTCCCCTTTAAAGATGCGAGAGAGGATGGAAGCAATCGGGGAAATTGTACAGGATCTCGAGCCAGATATTATCACATTTCAAGAAATCACGCTAGACAACCTCCCAGTTCTAAGAGAACAGCGCTGGTTTTCTCGCTACCACCTTATACCGCAAGGCGTTTTGAGATCCGATGGAAAACATTTTGTCATTATTTTGAGTATTTTTCCTGTTGACAAATGGTTAGTTCATCCATTCCCACTGAATTATAACGATTCTACAACGGAACGAGGACTTGTTTTAGCAGAAGTAAGGAACACTATTCCTTCTTCAGATGTTATTTTTGGCTTTGCAGGAACACATTTGGCATATCGTCACTTCGAAACTATTGAACGCGAACAACAGTTGAAAGAATCATTTCACGTTATCTCTGCTTACGATAACATTTGTGTCATGGGAGATTTGAACATCAATGATGATATCGATGGCGAAGTTGTGCTGCCACCGGCTTGGTTTGATGTTTGGCTATCGATTTCCGGAAATTCCAACAAAACTGGGTTCACGTTCGATCGGGATAAAATTTCAATAATGAAAGATCAGCCAGTCAATGCAAAGCCGCGCAAGGTGCGCTGTGATCGTGTCCTTTGCAAGCTGTTGGATTTCAAGGTTAAAGAAATGAGAATTGTTGGCGATGAGGTGACAAGAACTGGTGTACTTGCTAGTGATCATTTCGGTCTATTTGTAGTCATTGAACACATTGAGAAACCTGGACATGAAAA